ACACAAGAGCCAAGCTTTGGGTTGTAGCTAGGTTAACATTGTTATCTGTTCCATGACACCAAACAAGCCATTCATAAAACACAAGCCTCAATGGCTTAATTATCTTGTCCTCGTGTCTTAACTTCACAAAAGGGAAGTTGTGCACTCTGGAGAATTTCTGCACAAGTCCCAGAAGCTTCTACCACATGTTCATCTATTTTATTGTATGTATGCTTTCCCAAGTACCAGTAGCTTATTACTATATGACAATTTTAATTTTTTAGTATTATGTTCTGAGACACTTGAAACCCAGAAACCAGGACACACATAAATGGAAGTACAGTGCCACAAACTACCATACATATAGGTCTTGCTTCTGTTTAGTTATTTTTTTAAAGACATACAATCTCAGTTTTTTCCATTGCTATATGTACACAGCACACATCTCTGTCGTTTAACTCTTTTGCTCCATGCTTTTTGGGTGTATCACATTCAGTCATTTTTCAGACAAAGATCAGAAAGAAACGTGATATTAAGATGCTAAAATGTAAAATCTCTTACTAATAGCACAGCACCAAGTGATTCTGGCTGCTCATCTACAAGTAGAAGACATCACTGTTACCCCTAAAACTATCTCTCCTTTAACTTCAGAAAGAAAAAGGAATTCATGGCAGCCTAAACTTTTTCCTACTCCATCCTATACTTCACTACTGGTAAATATAATGCAAATAAGCTTTTCCATCACTCTCTCCACTTTGCTTTTCAAAATAAGGAAAACTATACATCCCTGATGAACATACAAGACATTTACTGCTCTGAGGGTTCCACCCTTCTTCATTAGCCTTTATTGACCTCTGTCCTACTGCTCACCAACATGCTGTGACCAATGGTTTGGGACTGTGACCAGCTCATCTCCTAACTGGGCCTACTTATTCTGGGTAGAACAATGCCATTTCCTTATAGAACAGAGTTCTGTATCCAAGGAAAGATACATGGCAAACGATGGCTGGTGTGCGTCTTCCAGGCTGTGTGGCCGTGTTCTGGAAGTTTTGTTTCCTAATGTTTCGCCAGCATCTGTGACTGGCATCTTTAGGGCACAGAGAGAACCGCTCCTGTCTGTGCTCCTGCTCTCTGAAGATGCTGGTCACAGATGCTGGTGAAACGTTAGGAAACAAAACTTCCAGAACACTGCCACACAGCCCGGAAGACCCACACCAGCCATCGTATTCCGGCCGTGAAAGCCTTCGACAATACATACATGGCAAACCATTTTATTCCCTCTTTTATTACTGTTATATCACACAATGTTTTACTTAAAAGCTGAACATTTCCTGATAATTTAAAACTGCAATTTTGTTTTTCACTCACAACTTCAGTCTCATTTCTATTGCAGTATTTTGCTCAGTTCCACAAAAATCACATGCTTAGCAATGACACTAGTGCATTATTACTAAAAATTTCAGTATTTTAGTATATATTTGATTAAAGCACATGAAGTAGAAACAAGAATGCCTTGACCACAGAGCCTTGCAGAATTAACCCAATTCTTCTATGAAATCACCATTTTGATTATTAAATAAAATGTGTGGAGAATCAGAGCCTCTATGCATGATTGCTTGGGATTATATAGATTATTAGCTTAATATATTAAGTTACAACATATTAATTACCTTGCTATGGAAACACAGTGGTAAGAAACAACAACTTGAGGGGTTGCTGTGAGTTCATTAACCTATAGTTCTGTGACCTTAAAAAAAAAGCTGCAACAAGGTGAGAAAAAACTGCACACTTGTGGCTTTAGAACCTCCTGCCTTGAGTGTGAACCCCAAAGTCCCAACACAATATATAGTTGTGTAATTGTAATGTTTAATGTGAACAAAGAAAGTATTAAATACAAAGGAAATAATTATAGTAGTTATTTAATTTTCAATCCATTTAAACTTCAATTAAAATTAAATCAGACTGAATTGTTGTCTTTAACCCACACATACTAGAGAGTATCCCTGGCCCAACACTCAAAGGTATCTTTCCTATAAGGCCAAAAGGGTCTCAAAGAAGGGTAAGCAAATTTCAGGTTTGAATAACTCAACAAACCATGGAATTTTTTTTTCTTCCAGAATGGGTTCACACATCACATTAAGCCAAAAAGAAATCCCATCGCATCTTCACATAACTTGCAAACTGGGTCACTCTTATTCAACATAAAAATCTACTCTTTTTTGCATTTATGGGCTGTGTGGAGGGTGGCCATTTTGTTTCTTATTTGAAGTGACAATGTGATCTGAAAAACACTTTTATTCCTTTATTTCACCATGACTTGATTTCTTAACACTTATTTGTTTGGCGCAACAAGGAATGTAAACTCTCAATTAAAAGGAACCCCAGAATGTGGGGCAGTAAATATTGTTTGTCGACACTTTCTGCATGAGGAATATCCTGCTCTTTTCAGAGAATTGTAAGAAAAGGATAGTTTCTATAATATTACCACAACAAACCTGCCATTGCCACATATTGACTGCTGCCTTCTTCACATGGAGATTATGGAAAGACCGATCATAAATTGAATGTTGACAAAAATGTTACAAAATCTATGCATGTGGCTGTCTGTGTATCTTCTCATTCCTACTAGTACTGTTTAGCTTCACTACTTGCAAACACAAGATCATATATAGCATTGACTGCCCATCGATGTTTAATGCAGGAGAAAAGAACCTGTGACCCACCAGATAGAGTGAATATAAAATCCATCAGTCTCAGACAGCATGACCCATGGGCACAGATGGTAACAATTACAGCTCAATAGTACCTGGAGGGCTATAGGCTGATGCTCCAGGCTTAATATGATGTGTGAACTCACTCTGGTATATCCAAAGGGTAGAAGACCAAACTAAAACACCGGAAGGAATTAAAACTCACCACAAAAAATAGTACAAGTATCAGTATAGGTAGTCCTCGTTTAGCAACCACAATTGGAACTGGCAACTTGGTCATTAAGCAAAGCAGTTGCTAAGTGAAACCGTGACTGTGCTTACAATCTTACTTCATCTTTGCTTTACAGATGTGCAAAGGTCATAAATGTGAGGATTGGTCATAAAGGTACTTTTCCATCACCGTTGTAACTAAAAATGGTTGCTAAACGAGGACTACCTGTATTGCTGAAAAGATATATCACCATGAACATGTAATACATGCAACAGTTTGCTTTGATAACTGCTGAAGAACTGAGTTTTGAATCTTGAGTAATGCAGGCATACATCTGACTTCTGCCTTTTCTAGTTTAACACCCCAAAATACCCAATGAACCATTCTGGATAGGCTACAGTGATGAAGAACTATTCAATTCTACTATACTCAAGATCAGCCTTGTTTGAAAGTAAATTTTTACATCAGTAGTTAAGCCAAACACGAATTATGGATTGAATTCAGTTGTCCAAAGCAAGCAAGAATATGTAATTGTTTCACAGATTCAAACCAACCTCCTGATGTTCAAAATGAAGAAAAACGGTCAAAACAAGATAACTTCAGAACTAAGGCAATCACAAATTCATTTTCCAGAATGCCTCACGTCAGGCTTCCTCGAGAAGGCAGACTAATTAGAGTGCCTGTGAGTATTGAACTGTATTTAAAAAAAATAAAATAAAATTGCACACGACTGTGCGTGTAAAAAGATGCTTACAATCCAGGTGTTTTTTCTTGGGGCCCATCACTTCATGTGTGGTTGCTTTGCAGACGGCTCTAGCTACAGCTGATCCTGTAACACTGTACTGAGCAGCTGCGATGCGATCTGTCAGCGTCTGACCTGACATCTTCAACTAATTCTAGGGCTGCTGCCACTTCTATGAAGAAGGGGAAAACAATTGAGGGAAGGAGAAAAAGAAAACACAACATGATTTGCCCGTTAAAAGTAGATTCCTAAAGCCTAGCTCTCAGTTCACTCCTTCCCCAACCCCCATCTTTTCTGTTGTGTAACTGTTTGTACTGAAATATGTGGTCTTGGATGTTTTAGAGATGGGGGAACAAAGAGGAAATATGACTCAGGAAATTAAAAAATATTAAACGGGGGGGGGGAGAGATTCCTTTTCCTTCTGTGAACTGCATCCCTTGATCAATATGATGGCGGTTACTGCAAACTGCCACCCACCTCTTCGTTATTTATGTTGGAGGGAGGGCATGAGGAAAGCCTCCCACGTCTCCAAAGCACAGGCCTTCCCACCAGAGCCTCAAGAGGGCTCCGAGAATGGATTTAATAGCTCGTCTCCAATTTGGCCACTATCTTCCTCTTGCAGCTGATTCTACCGCAGCAACGGGGTTTTCTCTCGCCGTCGCCCTGCGCTTCCACTTCGCTCTCTGATGAGAGATTATCATATCATTGCGCCATATTATGCCCTCTCGGTGCCTTTTCCCTTTCCCAGTCCCCTGGCAGCTCCTCCTTGAAGACAAGACAACCACAGGCCGCTTGTTTCCAGTAGCCCAGCCAACCCCACCCCGGTATCACCCCCCAACCCCACTCCTTCGGCTCTCTTCCCTATCCAATTCCTAGCTTTTCGTTCCCTGCAATGCAATGCGCCCCCCCCCCCCCCTCTTTCCCTTCGCGGGGAACGATGTGAGCAGAAGTCGCCCCGGTGT